AGCATAACCGGTACAAAAATGAACTGAAAGCTATTAGAAAGCATTATGACGAAACATCTGACGTCGGGCAGAAGGTGATAAGATGGTTAAAAGATTTCAAGGTATCATTCATTTATCACAACAATATATAGTTCTTGGTATCTTAGCGGTGTGGGAGTGTGAGGAATAAGGCATTGTTTGAAAGTATATAATTCACGGACTACTTTGCGGACTGCTCGTTCGTAGGGGAAAGACTGCTTGTTTGTCTGAGAATTATAATAGTATGCAGTAATTCACGGACTACTTTGCGGACTGCTTGTTCGTAGGGGAAAGACTGCTTGTTCGTCCAAGAAAGACTGCATGCTAGTGTGAGTATATAACAATTCACGGACTACTTTGCGGACTGCTTGTTCGTAGGGGAAAGACTGCTCGTTTGTCCGGGAAAGGTGGTTGGACCTCATAAGCAAAGCAGAATAGTTTGTCACTAACTCATTATTTTTTCGAGAATGATAAGAATTCGAAACAGATAGATCATTTTTGGGATCTACAAGTGAAGAGGCAAAATATTTCTGTGGAGATAAAATTACTTGAGGAGAAAAGCAAGTTGCTTGAGAAGCAACAAGTAGGTTATCTTAGAAATTAGAAATTTTGTTTTAATACATTTCCTAATACCTACAAATGAATCTACGAAAGAATGAACTGGAGAACGAGATTGATCTTGAACAGGTTAATTTATGTTAATTTATTATTTAACTCTTCATTACGCTTAATTCGATGTTGGTATACTGAAAGTCCATTTGAATTTTAGATCTAGATACGGTGAGAGAAACCCGAAATCAGGGTGGTTTACTGCAAAAAGAAGTTACGAAAAAGATCGAAAACCGCGTGACTGGACATAAGCGAGCTCGTGAAGAAAAGCCATCTAACCCACCAAAAAAGATAAAATTATCAGGAAAAAAAGTTGGTATATAACTTAAATTTTGTCCGCAAAAACATCTTTATAAAAGCTGAATTGAGTTAATTCTTTTAGGGGGATACATTGCCTGATGGAACCATCCTTAACAATCAAAGAAGCTGGATCTTGCCCTCAAGACAAAACGTTTACAACATTATCACTGAGAATATATCCGCAAATGCGATGGCAAGAAAAGATTATCAGCTGTAGAGAAAGCTGTATTACGCTATGGTTTATCACAAATAATCGATTTATCAGCTCATATGAAACAACGGTTTTCTCTCGAAGATAGAAAATTTATGATGAAGGATTACATGTCTTTATTACAAGTTCCCTGCCTGAATGACGAAGAAACTTCCTTTGTCACAACTATCGAAAATGTACATGCATTGTTTTAATTTGCTTGTTCTGTACACACAAATATACATGTTGATTAGTTTTTCTTATACAGATGGTACTCGAAAAAAGAATAAACGAAGCATACGAATTTTGCGCTAGAAAATTTACTAGCTCTGAGGCGAACAGCTACATGCGAAAGATTAGTAAAGTATACTTAGATTTGTTAGTATTTTATTCTTCTATGAATTGCTTTAATTCTTTATTTTTTTGTGGTTCAATTCTGATAATTTTGATGTTTATAGTATTTACAGAAGTGAGGATGGCGATATGTTGGATTCTGCAAACACTGAGATTGACATAATACTAAAAGCATGTTCATATATTGTTGAAGGACTGAGGAAGAGTCTGGTAGTAAAACAAAGATGGTTGGTATAAATGAGATTTGATTGTTTTGTATTCCATTCTCACAAATTACTTATGTTATATTAAAATAAGGGGAGAGTCATTCTGCCCATTGAGCAAAAACACGGACTATAAAAATGGTCGCAAGTGTGATGTGCGCTTCTTGTCACAATCAGGAATAGACCTTGGAGAATGGGAGTTCGCGTCAAATGCAACACCACAAAAGGCAATTGGCGACTGTTGTCAATCAGCTCATATTAATCAATCGATATTAAATGGTCTGTTGAATCGCAACCTGACCAATGAACAGGTTAAGAAAATCAATGTTTCCTTTTTACAGATTGCAGGTACGAATGGGCAGATGTTAATTGAGGATTTGATTGAGGGTTTCTATGTTGTCTTTCCGGGTTCAAAGTTTGAGCTTCCCATGAAGCTTCAACATATTGGTAAGCTGAAATCCTCTGTAAACATTATCAAGTTTGTCATGGTAAACTTACGTTCCTATTCATTCAACATCTGAAGTATTTGTATCATTAATCCATTTTAACATAACACAGGATATGTATGAGAAGATAGGTGAAATCGTGGAGACCAAAGAAAGTAGGAATAATGCGTTTGATGATATTTTCGATAGTGATGAGCTTGACACGAGTCCCATTCTAAGTCGGAATATATTCGTAAACCGTGGTGGACCCGAAAAGCAATAAAGCAAAAGTCACCGACAACAAATAGCAAACAAAAATTCATATTTAGAGAGGGAGGTTCTAGATTGTATATTTTTTTTTTAAATTCATAGCTTATCACGCGGTTATTTGTGTATTTACTTCTGAAAAAATAATAAAGACTTTCACTAGCAAAATAATCATTTTCGTCCAAAGTATGCA